TGAGTGAGGGCCCGCCGCCGGGCCGGGGTGCGGGGTAGGGACACGGGACATAACCCAACACGCCCCGGGGAGCGGGGAAAAAGCCTTCCCCGGGCATCACGCGTGGCCGCGTGGGTCAACGCCCGCGGTCACTCCAAAACGTGTGCAAGTTGAGCATCTTTTTGAAAGAGCTTGTTTTCGAGCGAAGCACTTCGGAGCAGGTGAGGGCCCGCGGGTCTCCCGGCGTGCCGCCCGGCAGGGGGCTGGAGCCTTTTGGGTCCCTTCTGGGAAAGGGCTTCAGGAGGGGGACAGCCCTGACCCCCTCAGGACAGGCTGTGGGGAAAAAACCCGAGCCAGTCTGGGTGTTCAGGTGCCCCCGGCTCAGCGAGAAGGGTGTCCCAGGGTTATTGTGCTGCCCTGGATGCTGCGGCACGGTACGGGCCTTCTGCTGGCCAGTATTATACTTTAATTGGCGAAGGCAGCCAGTTTTGGGGGCCCCTTGCCATGAAGAGTCGGGGAGAGGACACGAGTATCAAACGCTTCCCAGCAGCGTATGTTGCGCTCGAGCATGGACACGGGAGCAAAGGGAGGCACTGGTAGAAACTTGCTGCTGAGTTTTGCTTGGTGGTCTGGAGCTATGACAAAAGTACCGTCAGTATTTTTCAAGATACGATCTTTTTCTCGTTATTTCCTTCTTAGTAAATGTACGTGTTTTATTTTTACTTCTCTAGATGTTTCAAGGGGAAATAAGCTTAAGCGGATGCTTCAAAAACGCGAAGGTAGGTAAAGAGACAGCAAAGTGTTTTTTCCCTTGTTTTTCCTTTGAACCAGTCCAAGCTGCCAACGTGTTCTCATCCACCCCCAGCCTGAGGAGGGCAGGCAGAGGAGCAGCGTACAAGCACCCACCTCAAAGCTGGTAGCGCACAGCCGCTCTCGCTACATACCGCACCAAAACCTCCTGCGCGGACGGAGCCTGTGCCCGCGTGTCCGTTTGGGACCTGGTACTGGCAAGGCCGGCGGCTCCGCTTACCACAGCCCCCTCTGCGAAGCAGTGCTCCCGGCCGCAGGCAGCGCACGCCTGCGTTTTGCTCCGCGCAGTGGATAGCACCTACCTTTTCTAGCGCGTCCGTGGCGGACTTGGCATTTATCTGATTTAGTCTGGGAAGCCACAAGCTTTTCCAAGGAATTGTAGTGTGTGGAAATACTGCTGGCTCAGGTGCAGAGGAGAAAATGTGCAAACCAGGCTTGCTCACAATGCCTTGACTTGTTCCCTTTATCCGCTTGGCCCCACGTGTGCTCCCTTCTTGGGAGACTGCTCTTGCCATGGGAGGGACCATGGCCGAGGGCCCAGCGGCAGATGCACCCCGTAGCTCGCTGGTTGAGGGAAGGGGATGGAAACGGAGCTGGCGAGGGACAAGCGGCACTACAGCAGATGGGGGGAAGGCTGAAACACCCCAGAAGTTTTGGTTGCCTCCCCTCAAGCCTGCTCTACGGCCGAGGCAAAGAATTTACACCCCCCGACAGAGGGGACTCCCACTTCCTGCAAGCCCGCCTAACTTCTCACTGGCTTTTTCCTGGCATCTCCCGCCACCTCTTGCCAGGCTGAAAATGTCTGCCCCATCCACGGCTGTTTGCGTTGTGCGTGGGCTCCCTACCTCACCGCTCTGCAGCGCTTGCACGTAGATGGGAGTGACCACTTGCAACAGCCGCCAGCAGCGGTCGGCTTGTTCGTTCGGGTCCCCTGGCGAGGGGGACCGCCCGGGGGGAGGCTCCTCGGGCGGGCAGACAAGGTGGCCTAGACCAGGAAGAACTGCAAAACCTTGAATGGGTGATGGAGGGCGTACGCAGCCCCTTAATCCCAGCCCGCCCCCCTTTCCGAGTTGGGCGGACCCGGTACTGCTTCCCTTGCTGGCAGCGTCCCTGGCGCGAGGCTCATTCCCGTGACGTTGGCTCAGCTGGGCGAACACCCCGCTCGGGCGCACGGCGAGTTACCAGTTTCCAGCTCGTTGCCGCAGGGAGGCAGCTCAGCTGCCGGTTTTACCTCTTGAGTCACTGCGGCCCTTTGCCTCCTCGTGCGAGTCTGCCCAGCTCCTGCTTCAGCGGTTTTCACATCTCCACCTGACTTCCCCTCCTGCCCTAGCCTCTTCCCTCACATCCTCCGAAAATCTCCACCCACACCCGTGTTCCTGGTCTCTCCCTCGTTGCAATGAACCCACTGAAGCCAAGACCTTCCTCCTACTCCTACACGTGCTTCTTGTTTCACGGGAAGACCAGACATCATACCGCGTTTCATCATTTCCGCGCGTGGCGGGGGGCTAGCCGGTCCTCGCATCCGTACCTCTCCGAGGTGCATAAATGCCTCTAGCAGCCGCAGCAAACTGCCTGCCTCTTAGGCGTGGGGCAAGCCAGAGGGCATATGTGGGTCTGGCAGGTCGAGGGCGTTCCCCTGCATCCACCACACCTGATGGGCTTTTATTTTCAGGCATACAGGGCACTCAGTGGTAGTCATTATTTAAAAGCTACTTTTTTACACAACGGGTTCAACAATCTATCTTTTTGTGTATGCCTCCCTTCGCCCTAATAAGCTAGCAGTGTTTCTCCAGCTTCTCCAGGCTTTTTAACTTCGCCTCTCATCTTCTTTCCCGTTCCTGCAGCAGCCAGTCTCCTGTTCTCTCCTCAAAGCACAACACAGTGTGTATACGCTCTTTCACTTCGGGTTTGGTTGTTCACATTCCTTGCTTAGCTGATGCCTTTGACCTCAGAATAGCTTTTAGGAAATCCAAGAGAAGGAAGCTGAGAAATCCTATTACATCGACAATTCCTGGGTTTATTACCGTTACTGCTGCGACACGCATCGCGCCGCCGAGCACAAAGGGGATGGAGAAGCACTTTCTTACTTGCTGCAAGCGGTATGCTTCGGGCTGACTAAAAATTTCCTGGCATGCTTTTTGGGGGTGGTGGTGAATTCATTTCAGCCCCTGTTGCCACGAAGCCCGAGGTGTCGGTGAAAGAAACGGCGGCCAAGGAGTTCCTAAGCAGCCTGAGACGGCAGCGGCGCCAGCTGTGGGACCGAAGCCAGCCCGACGTACAGCAGTGGTACCAGCAGTTCCTGTACCTGGGATTCGATGAGGCGGTGAGTGACAGGCTGTCGGGAGGTGGTAGGGCGTTAGAGCGAGCGGCTGCGAGCGTGGCTGCACAGCCACGGGGGCACCCAGGGAGAAGCTGCCCTGTTTTCTGTTCGCAGACACTGTGATTTCCTTTTTTTAAAGTAGCAAACGCTGCACAGAAATGTAAGCCCTGTATTTATTAGAGATTTCTGCATTACTTTGTTAACAGAGGAAAATGACATTAAGATCTTGCGCAGAGTTCTTGCCTGCTACTGAACTTGAGCTCAATAAATTGCAAGCAGACAAAGTCTGCTTTGAGAAGTAGGCGGCCAGACCCAAAGCAATCAATCGTATTTCAGGAAATTAATTTGGCAGTCTCAACCTAATCAATTTGCTTTTTTAACATGCTGAGAAATCCACACCAAGCTGGCCGTGACTGGCGTTCCTCAATGAAACTGCACCAACATTACGCACCTAATGCACGTGTGTGCCTCCGTGGTCCTTGCGGCTCCTGACCACGGCAAGCACCGGCAGCTGCGCCTCGACGCTAAGTGTGAAAGGAAAACCATTTGATAATGTGCAGCCAACCTCCCTTCAAATAAGAAGGATACTTTTTTTAAAAAAAAAAAAAAAGCAGTTAATTGGTAAAAACACTGGTGTGGAATCAGGAGTTCCCAGATCTGCACAAAGCTCTACTAAATAGATGCTGAAATAGAGCGGAAAATGTGCATTTAGTTGCAGTCCCACATATAGAATAATTTCTACGTTAATAAGAGGTAAAAATAGTTATAGATGTTGAATTCTTGGCTTGTGTCAGCTGCATGAATACGTTTAATGAGATTGCATTGGCACAGGCAAGCTGGAGTACGTTTTGGACCTTCATGCTATGTGGATTGCTTAAGAGATGAATGCACTCATTTTCAAAGCTGGAACAATTAAAAAAGTAAACCTTTGCTTGCGCTGAAAGAATGAAGGACACATTTTTTTGTTGCTCCTGGACGTTATGCAGATAAAAATGACTTTTAAACAAGATGGCTATATCCCTCTCCCTCCTCCCAGTAGGAATAGGAAAAATAGGAAAAACGGTTTTATGCATCAGAAACGGAAGACTGGGGGCAAATACTAAGAGGTAAGAAATGAGGACAAACCATACAGATAAGGTGAATTCTCCTCTGAGTTCCTGTGTGCATTTTAAAAGCTGAAATGAGACCTGTTGTGGGAAACAATGAACCCACTTAGGTTTTCTTGAGTATTAAGACACAGTTTTAACAACGAAATAACTGTTTGTTCCAGCAAAGGACTTGGGCCATACTTACCCGTTGTGTATTTTGCAAAACTATTTTTTCAAATCTCAGCCAAAAATATTTCCAAAGACTCATTCAGAAGGAAAGGCTTTAGCTTGGCAAGTATTTGCACACTGTTGTGAGCAGACTTGAACTGCCTACTGCGTTTCCATAGCTAGAAGGCTGGACTGTACCTTTGTTCTCACCCATGCAAAATGGGAGCGAGAGATCACGGGCGTAGAGCGAAAGCCCCTCGCGCCCACTTTGCAGCCGGGGACAGCGTGACTGAAGGTGTGGGGCAGCAGAGAACCAAGCCTCTGGAGTACGAAACGTTGAAATGTTTTTATAGTCCACCACTGAAAAGGTAATAGGGATATTACAGGTGCTCGGTGCACGTTTCAGTTGCAGGCGCCCTCAGCGTAAGCACTTCACAGTGGGCAGAGGGGATGGGGGTGGGTCCCAGGTGGGGCTGGGCAGGACAATTCCGGCTCTGGGGGCCCTGATAATCCCATCGAGAACATAGGTACGAGTCACAGAACCCCTTAGATCTGAAGATTTCGTTTTGACAAATACGCAAAAGACCTGAATTTCTGAAAGAGACGGAAGGTACCTCTTGCACCACTTCTGTTTCACTCTCTTCGTTGTAAAGTTCCAGGCTTGGAAAGCAAGTATTTTCTTTTTTTGGCAGAAATTTGAAGATGACATCTCCTACTGGACAAGCTTAGGGCGTGCTCGTAACGAATACTATGGTGGATACTACCAACACCACTACGATGAAGATTCACCAATTGGCCCACGAAATCCACACACCTTCAGGCACGGAGCAGGTGTCAACTACGATGATTACTAATGCCATTTATTCTTCCATAGCTGGTGCCTAGAGGTCTGTGTTGGGCGAGGCCGACTCCTCCCTCAGTCAGAATGACACTGCTTTCCTCCTATTCATGTAAAATAGCAAGAGTAAAGGAACTGCCAGACTTCAAAGAAAGCAACATTACTTTTTTTAATTCTCATTACTTAGTAGTACACTATATATAAAGTGTTATAGAAATAAAGCTTTTTTGATAAAATAAACAGGTTGCCATTATTTAGTAGAGTTTGTAACAGCAAGTTTCATTCCAGTTCTATTACTACAGATTCCTTTTTAATGGGCTTTTTCATTTGCTTTCCTACAATCAATTGCAAAATTACATTATATCATCTAGTTTGGCGTATAGAATACACAATACAAGCCAATACATTTCAGATGCTCCTGCTCATTCAGATTTGTGTCAACTAATAAATCCAATTATTCTGGGGGGGAAAGAAAAAAAAAACCATTCCTCTCAATTGAAGTGCTGCCTTGTTGCCTCCTTTGCTGTTTCCGTACCTGCTGTGCACAGCCCTCCAGATTTGTGTGACACAGCTCTTGAGCAGTTCCTGTTGGGACAAGGACACAGATGTTCACAAAAGCTAAGTTCAGCGCAGAGGAGCTCACCTACCTGCAAAGCCTGTGAAAGTGAAGGATTCTCCAGGGAAAGGGCTCAGTGCAGAAACCTGACTTCAGAAGCAATCGCCGAGACGCCGAGCATCTAACCCGAGTGGCCCCTACCCTCCCCAGGCACGATAACCCAAAGGTTATTTTTGATGAATACTCCTCTTTGTGTCCTTTCCACTTAGCTGCAAGCTTTCGGTCTAGCTTGGAACAGGGAATTAAATAACAACACAAGCTATTTAAAATCAAGTTATCATCAGATAGCATCCAACACACTCCCCAGACATAACTTCCCTCCATGAAGTTGCCTCTGTCCCCAATTCAAACTGGCACCTACACACGTTAGGCTGAGCATCAAAATATATCAGAGACTGGCCACTTGTTAATGAAGCATAGAGGATAAAAGGGGGGTTGGCTGGTGGGTTGTGCGTGTTGAGGACTCCGAAATGCAACCAACCTTTCAGCCACAGCAACATCAGCCACATTGCTGCTTCTTTCTTGCTACTGTAGGGAAGGGCCTCACGCAGACCTAAGCCTAGGAGGGAGATTTCAGCTGTCAGGGGCTTCAGGAGGGGCTTGGTGGGGGAAAGCACTGCTGAAGCTTGGCAAGTGTAGAGGACTGGGAAGGGGCAGGTGAGGAAGGCTGTCTGGCTCCATGACTTCTGGAGCTGCAGAATAAGGATAAAGAGAGATGAAGTGTGTACTGCAAACTCCAGCAGAGTCGGAGAAGAAAGACAGCATGGATGCTTCAGCTGCCTGTCACCTAAAGCTTACAAGAAGTTTCCAAAGCATGGATCACGGCAACACCATTGTTTACACTTCACCTCTGTCTCAATTCTGGGTGTATTTCCTCATCTTTCACTTAAAGTCCCCGTTGCGTGACGGGGTGTCCAGGAGAGGCAGCCCAGCACCATCCTGCTCCCTGCAGGAACGCTCTTTGCCGAGGAGCCAAATTGAACAAACATGTTGGTCGCTTCTCCTCTGCACGCAGATATGTGCTAGCCTGATGTGCTCCAAAAACTCAGCTTTCCCCTAGGTTTTGGAGCGCTTGCTCCAAAAAGCAGAATCCTTGCCAATTTAATCAGTTTAAACTGGTGTGTTTCGTCTGTAGAAGACCCAAGCACGGAATAATCATATTCTGAGCCAAGCACATGCTCTTTTGCACAGTTGGAAAACACCTATTCCTAGAAGAACACTTCCATTTTGTATCCCATCAAAAAAGTGCACCAAATTTGGCAACCATGCTGATAATTTCCATCATTTCCCAGAATTTACAACAACTGGGAATTCGGACCTGCTGAATAAGGAAGAAAAAAAGTGCCGTAAATAAATACCATCCCTCCCTAGGCCTTTGTCCATTCCTGCAGGCTGACTCAGTCTAGCAACCTTCTGTGCCTTGCAGCCTCACAACCAACTCTACGATCTCTCTCTTCTAGATTCTCCAAGAGAAAAAAAAAAATCTTTTCCATGATGTCCTATTGCATGCTGAAGTTTCCCAACACGTACTGGGGTCTGGCTGGCGCAGAGTTAACTTTCTTCATAACAACATGTACGCTGCCGTGCTTTAGATTTGTGACTAAACCAGCGCTGAGAGCACACCAGTGTTTTTGCTGTTGCTGAACAGTGCTTGCACAGCATCAAGACCGCCTGTTTCCCATGCTGTCCCCCAGCAGGTAGGTTAGGGGTGGGTGAGAGGTTGGGAGGGGACACAGGTGAGACAGCTGACCCAAACTGACCAATTCCACACCATATAATGACTTGCTCAACACTAAAACCTGGGAAGAAGAGCAAGGGGGTGGGGGCTTTGTCTTCCAGGGTAGCCATCGCTCAGGGCGTCAGTCTTGTTTAGGGGGATGGTGAGCGGCCTTTGCATCACTTGGGTTTTTTTCCTTCTTTCCATCAGTTATTAAACTGCTCATATCTCACCCCTCAAGTTCGCTCACTTCAGCTTTTCTCATTCTCTCCCCAGTCCCGTGAATGGCTGTGAAGGTACTTAGCTGCTGGCTGGGGTCAACCCACCACAAGGCAATAGGTCTGAGGAGAGGGCACCGTCCTTCTTGCAGAGGGATGCACCTGCCGTGACGTGCAGCAATTGCAATGATGCAAAAGTACATGCAGTAAGCTACAAAGAAAGCAAGTATGAGCTGTCACAGGTTTGGGCAAAAGGAGGAAGACGACTGAAAAAAAGAAAGTTCGTCAGATATGCATGGAGTGCATCGAAGTTAACTACATTAACAAAGTTAATTTCCTTTGACTCTTTCTGTCCTAAAACACAGACAAACCCTGTGCACGCCCTCGAAGCCTTTCCATCCTGCTGTTGCAGACAGCACAGAGCACATCACATCGTCATCATCCCCAGCCTTCCCGGCACTGACATCACGTACCCTCTCCACCAAGACAGAAGGGCAGCCATTGTTCACTGTGGCTCCCTACAGAACAGCTTGGCCGTGGTCCAGCACTTCATATTTCAAGACCCGGTGCTGCCACATCCCCCCGTTTGCGGGTGTCCGCCAGGCAACTCCGTTGGTGGGACTGACGGGGCAGTCCTGCCTCCTTTGCTGACAATATCTGCCAGGTAACCCTTCTGTCAAAGCATGGAAGTACTACCATGCCCCAAATGCTCCCTGAAGTCTAGACAGAGATCTTTCTCTCCAAAACCAGGTCTTCAGCAGCACTCTTAAATTTTTTTTTTGGGGGGGGGGGGGGGGGGGGGCGCGGTGCTTCATTCCCTTTAAGTTCCAACTTGTATCACAAACACGTTGGGGTTGGGGGACTAGGCACTTTTATCCCAGGACTGTTTCTCAGGTGGAAAGCGTAGGTTTCCTTGCTCAAAACAGCTTTCTCTGCAGCAGGACGATCAGAGCCCAGATTGCTGTGCTTGGCTTTGAATGGACCTAAGGCCACCCCACAGTTCCCTGTGGCTTCAATGTTTTGGACCTTCCAGCTGTTTCAGCCATGGCATGGACCAAGGCATTCAGAAGATCCCCCTCCTTGCTGAAGAGCATGTCAGAAACTAGGGAAAACACAGCAAGAATGAACCAGCTGTTGCTCGTTCCAGGCTGTAAATGGCAACAAAACAAGGCAGACAAAAACTTGTTACCACGTTTGCTGTTATGGAATAGGCAAGGGAGATGGAAAGGGACTTGGAAAAGGAATGGAGAACCAGAGTCTGTTTTTTGCAAGAAATATGACTTGTTATTTCAGAAAAGCCTTGTTGGTAGGGAATCGCATTCAGGAACCTCCTGCCACAGAAAAGGTGCCTTGCTTTTCTCCAGAGCTATTGCTGCTGTTCCTGGTAGCTCTAGGGAGCCAGAGCCACAAATAAGGTATTCCCTTCTCCTGCCACTTGTGATCCAAGCACAGGGAAATTTTCACAACAGAGCAACTACGATTTGTGGTGGCTACATTCCCACTGCAGGGAGGGGATGTGTGGATGTTAGGGCTAGTTGTGTTGAGTACACGCTTCCCTTGCTATTAACAAAGTATCTTCTTCCTGTGGACAGGTCTTCTCTGATCAGCCTTTAATGACCTTCAAGGACTTCTTCGCCTCAAGTAGCATTAAACTCAATACTAATAAGACTGGGGACTAGCTCAATCCATCACAATCATCAAAGCCCTCTTTCACCCTCTGTAGCCTGGTCTCTAAGGCTAACGAATTCATGCAGTTGTGTTTGTGTCTTCCCCCTCCTCTCCCTTGCCTCTTTCTCTCAACTTTGAAACTCAATTCCAACCTGACCTGACAAAAGTGAAAGTTTTTTTCAAATATATTACATTCCTAAAAATTTATTGAAAAAATAGATGACCAAGAGACATTCATAAATGCCCAGGGGGTGGTGAGCTCACTGGCTTTAAACCTGCCAGAATCTATATAGGTTAAGAGAAGCTGCAAACATCCTAGACACAGGAAGACTGTCAGATCATGATTTCCCCACATAGCAAAAAATCTCACCTAAAGATAGACATGAGGCTTCTCTAGACTATACCTTCATGGAACTACTTAAAATAAATTAGGTCTGCAAGCCCCACTGTAGCTTGTCTGTAGACCAGCAATGTAGTTTACAAAGCTTCTGTGCAGCCTACATGTAGAAATAAAGCAAAAATACACCATGTTTAAAAAAAAAAAAAATCCAGCTGTGGACCTCACGTTGTGATAACTTCCAGCAGCAAGAATGGTCATCCTTGTGTGGTTCAAGGAATCCACAGCAGTGGAGGCCTTGCACACCTCTCCTTCTAGAAGGCTGATCTCACTCACCAGCACAAAGCTGGCCAGTTCACCACAGGCCTCTGCTACATTGTGTACTCCCTACTGAGAGAGGAGGACCTGCATCTAACGCCTGCTGAGCTGCCTCTTTGTGCAGATCACTGTGACGAAATAGGCACCTCAAGTCTGCTCATATCAGGTTTACCTTGCTTGCAGAAATCCCAATTCTCAAAGTACCTGAAGAAAAAAATTATAATCCATTGTGTTCAGGCATGGAAATGAGAACACGCCTCAGCTTCGTTCACTCCCAAGCCCCATATTTCAAAGCTTTCAGTGCTGTATTCCACCACCCTCCATCAAAAGTGGCTCTTCTGGAGAGGCAGCAGCTGTTTCTTACCTGCGATTCCCTGCAAACTTGATGCCTCTTTCTCCTACCGAGATGCATAATCCCAGATGGGAGCAAAGAGCACCAACACGCAAACCCCTCATCTGCCTTCTTGAAGGTTCAGTTCAGACCAAGCTTGAAATGACCCCAGACTTTCAGTCTAAAGCACCAGCAGACTCTGTTTTCACACCCACGATTCATGCCTTTCGAATCAGCTAGTAGGCTGGTCATCGGCTTCAAACACAAAAGGCAACAGCTGCCTCGGCTGCTGTTCCTGGAAGAACGTTTAAAAAGAATACAGGAACTGAACCAGGCATCTCTGAAACAAAAGCTAGAAACAGTAGAAGGAAAGTAGCAAATCAATACAGTCTGTCACCTGGGCCCAGTGCGAGGCACGCCACACACTCACAGATGGGTTGTAGTGGTACCAGCCATTCGCCCTCGCTCCAATTTGGTTCATTTATGAAGGAGGTCAGGCTGTGAAGTAACCTAAAAAGCTTTTAAATTCATAGTATCCAAACATTCAAACTTCCTGAGGGAATTTTTTTTTTTTTGAAAATGCACATTTTGTGCTAGTCTCCATATGCATGCTTTTGTTCCACTACAGTTTATGTATTTTGCACTGAAGTCACTGGATTAAATGAAAAACAGACCTGGAAGTAGCCAGCTGGCACCCACAGTTCCCATTTATTCTCAATGGCTGCTCTAAGTGCTGGACTAGGGTTGCACCCTTGTGCACCACCTCTCCATAGATACTTTGGCATCCAATGTCACAGTTTGCACAAGGAGTAAAATACAAGGAGAAAGAGTACCTTCCCCCAAACATGATCTAGACCTCAAGGGTTAAAAACATCGTGTTGGGAGCTGATTAACAGTTCTCACTACAGAACTATTAAAGCAGTGGGCACTACTTTCACATACATCCAGCTGTGGTTTTGAGTATAGAGAGAGGCTGTGCTTTGTGAGTGTATCAGTAACGACAGGTTACAGGCACATTTGGAGCGGGCACACCATAGTGTACTTTTCAGGCAACTTCATGTGGCATAAATACCCAGATCACATACACCTAGAAAAAGGCTTCAAACAAAATGCAGACTTCAAGCTGCTCAGCTGTGAAAAGATAGAGGCAATGTGTAATACCTAAATTCTACCTCTGAGAGTCCAGACAGGAAAATGCTCCCCGGCTCCCCATCTTAGTTGTATGGCAGATTTCCACTGGAAGAAAACCTGTGCACGTGAGCAGGGAAGAAACCGTTTCGCTTGGAAAGGATGACTGCAGACCCGGTCCAGGCAGGGCACACAACGAACACAGCAGCCCCATTGTTGCTGGAGTCCTAGGGAACTTCACCAGACAGACTGGATGACACTCCAAGCCTTGCAAGCACCAGCAGGCTCTGGCGGATGGCATGCTCAGACAAGGGGGCCTCAATACCGCACTGCTCCCGGAGTGCTTCGTGGGTCCGTGTGTCAAGCAGTCGCTACAGGTAACTCCCACTTTGACCATCAACCTAAAGCTACTCAAAAGTTAATGAAACATCAAGCTTTAAATGAGATAATGTCAAGTCACTTTGCTTGGTGAGATTTAGGATTTTCGATCTTTGAGTGGCACTAAGAAAAATGCCTTTTAAAGACTCTCTGCCAATCTCCCCTCCTAGGTATCCAGTCTTAGGTATTAAAAATAAAGGGGAACTATTAAATATAAAGGGAATTGTATTTTTTTGTTGTTTGTTTGGGTCGGGGGTTTTTTGTTAATATGACAGGCATAGTTATCAAAGTTGAATGCATTTACTGGCAATTTAATAACTGCTTAAAATAGAACTATTTCCTCAGTTAGGGAGGCTGAAGTTAGACTCTACAGTTTAAAAAAAATCTTACATTCCTGCACCACTATCAACTATCTGAACTGGAATAAATCATGATGTTTTTGTCCGATCTGTTTCAACAGACATCCTGCAGCCTTTCCCACATACCTGTTAAGAGACAAGCAATGAAAAACCAACTTTATTGAGTCCATTATTTGCAGGCTGTTACTTCTAATACAGTAAGTGCACATATGTGTAATGCCAGAGAAGTGCCCACAGTGAAACCCTGAAACTAGTAAATAGAAGTTTCAATATTTTATTAAAATAGCATATTCAACCACTGTAACCAATAATACATTAACTTTATTCCCAGAGTATGCACAACACAGTAGTGATTCAAAATATCCTTATCCATGGTAATCAATGAAAATATCTCAAATTCAAGTTTACAACTAAAACTAAACCTTTGAAAAAATCTCTCCTTTAAAGAATACATAAAGCTCTCATACAGAATTCTTTTAAACTCCTCTATACTTAGATGTCTGTGTCTCTCACCTGACAATACCACTAGCTTTTTTCTTATGCATAGTAGAACATCTCTTATTTTATAGTACCCATTTTATAAATAAATTGGCATTTTCCATCCCGTTTGTGTTTATCTTCAGCTTCACAAAGAAACCAGTAAATAAAACTGTCAAGGACAGTCACAACAAAATGATCTCACAGCAAGATATAAAACTTGAAGATACTAAAAGATGCTTCTACTCTATTTTACATAAAAAGACAGATTTAAAAAGTGCAAGGCAAGATTTGCAGGGGAAGGGGAATATTTGTTTGTTATTTTTAGGCACATCCACTTCTTTAAAGCAAGCTTCAGAATGAAATTCCAGTTTGTTCTTCATGATACCTGTTTCAAAGTCTCTCTCAAAAACAAAAACAAAAAAAAAGAAGAAAAAAAATTACATCCGTCAAATGTCAAGCAGGGAATTTCCTGTCCAACTAATAGTCTTCAGTTATGTCTTGTTCTTCCTTTTTTCATCCTTGCGGGTTTTGGTTTGGGAATATACTGATTGTTCGCCTGATACTCAAGTTCTTTACGGAAGTAATGAATTGCTTTATTCAAACCTTCTTCCAATGGGACCTGCTCCCAAAAGTGAGAAGAGAATCATATCAATCTAAGTTCACATCAGCTCTTTTCACAAGGGTGAAATTTTTTAATACAGCTCAAAAGACTGTGAGGAAGTCTCATCCTCAGCCAATATAAGTATTAGCAGCACCACACAGTGGTTACATCTCTACACTGCTAATGCATCTTAGCTTTTAAACATCAGATAAATTCTCTGACATAGTAAGTCAAAAAGTCCAACAAATTTATGTCTCATCAGATGGTTATGATTGGTCTGTTTAGTGCCAAAACAGACTTATGTAATTGTACTTTCAATTCATAATAACTTTGAAAGAGATAAGCTCACAGAAATTTAAGCCCTTTCTGTTATTAATGACTAAAGATCCTCTTTTGCAGAGTCTCACAGAATGGTACATAGCACAGAAAGGTATGAAGGTGGTGGGGTTTTTTGTAGTTTTTATTTCTTCAGTGTTCCACTGATATACAGAAAAAGGGATAAAAATTATCATCCAGTATCTCATTTGATATTCTTAAACCCTATGCAAATAATTGTAATTCTCTGTATTCTATGCCTGTATTTAAACAGTATGAGATGTAGACAGGAACAACAGAAATACTACCCACTTTTCTCAGGAGTCATATGCTCTGATATACTTGCTGATACCATCATCAATACAGGAGGATAAAATCTACTTGCTTTGACATATCAACACTGTCCTGCTACTTCAGAGTAAGTTTTGGTACTGAATGTGCCAAACACAGAAGGTCAGAAGTATAAAAGTTAACTGTTTTACACCTTCTGTGATAGTAACACTTGCCATCACCCTCGTGCTTTCAAGTATATTCTATCAGTATCCGGTACCTCTGTGAATCCTTTCTGAAGCTACCTTTTTCTATTAATAAGCTTACATTTACTAGATAGATTCACATGTTTCCTGGAAAGAATTTTATCTGCAAAACTGAAAAAGCTTACAAACCACTGTGCGAGGTAGAATGGGGAGCTGGCTAAGAAAGTCACATCCTTTCTGGGGATTAAGTAGATCTTACCTCCCCAAACCAACCAGCTATGCCTGGTCATACACTTGTACAGTTAACTTCACAAAAAAGGTTGAGAAAGGAAAAAACAGCAACCATGGCCATTTTGCATTTCTTGCATATTAGCTGTGCAGAACAACCACAATCTTGACGTCACCTCAGATGGCTGGTAACTAAGCTCTAGAGGTGGACAGGCATTATTATGAGTGGTGAGATGTTAGACTAACCCTCAACACATTTTGAGCTTATCAACACACAGAACAAGCTCTGAAAATCTCTACGTATGATATTTGTTGTCCAAAGTAAGGACTTCTTATTCTGGTTTATTTCAGTCCACCAGCATTAAAAAAAAATAATCAAAATGTATCATCTCTCTCTGGCTAGCTTCTGTTTTGCCAGAGTTTCATGTACTTCCCTTTAGGCAAACTCTAAAAAGCTGAATACTTTTCTGGTGCTCATATTTGTCCCTAGTAATCCAAATAATCTTTTTGGTTACAATGATGTTACAGATCATTTCTAAAATAGTCTTACTCCAAAGATTGTCTAAAAATATTTTAATAAAATAAAAGCAATTTTTTTCCTTCCATAATGCATGTTGCCACAGCAAAACAGGAATGAGGATTGTAGAAACAGCAAATTCATTAGCGCCCATAACTATGTACCACATATTTCAAAGGATTCATTGGGCTTACAGAAGGGTAGTTACTTCATAATATACATGTGAAAAAGTTAGAATGCCTATCCTAAAAATTTTTTTTTTCTCCTTAAGTCTATTACAAATGCCAATGCTAATATGCTCTTCTGCATGGCACAGGCCATATACAGTCTTACCCAGCAGTTCTTGAATTGTGAGCTAGGGCAACATATGAGCGAGAGCCTTTTAAACAACTCTCCTGGAGACTGTGTTAAGCAGATATTCTGATAACTGAAACGTATCATGATCATGTGGTCCTCTTCCCCCATTCTCCTCTGTCCCCTCCCCCCCCGTGTTTTTGCACACAACAACAGTAATACAGCTGTACGTACCACAGGTTCCCAGCCAAGCAATAGTTTGGCTTTTCTGATGTCAGGTTTTCGCTTCTGAGGGTCATCCTGTGCTTCCGAGAGAAACTGGATTTCACTCCCACTGCCTGTTAAACAAGAGACTGTGCATTATCATCTGCAATTCACTACGCTTTGCATTCACACCTTTCCTACCTACTGGAGCATCAAGTCCATCTGCAGCTTTCTGCTTCATAATTCTACCACTTGCATTATCTCTGCAATTCACTACGCTTTGCATTCACATTCACACCTTTCCTACCTACTGGAGCATCAAGTCCATCTGCAGCTTTCTGCTTCATAATTCTACCACTGAAACACTTTCCACAGACATAGCTATACTGCATGCAACAGCTGGGTGAACCAGCTGTCCCAGAGAAACATGGATTCACAAATTGTATCACAAAGCTTTCAGCAGGAAACAAAAAGGAAGTTATGCTTGACCAGTCTAACAACCTTCTATGATGAAACCACTGCCTCAGTAGCCAAGGGCAGAGCAGTGGATACCCTCTACCTTGACTCCAGTGAGGCTTTTAACACTGTCTCACTGGGCATCCTGGTGGACACCAAGTTGAATATGAGCCAGCAATATGCCCTTGCCACAAAGCAAGCAAATGGTATCCTGTGCTGCATTAGGAGAAGTGCTGCCATCAGGTCGAGGTAGATGATCTTTCCCCTCCACTCAGCACTGATGAGACACATCTGGAGGGCTGCGTCCAGTTCTGGGCTCCCCAGTACAAGAGACAAGGGTATACTAAAGACAGCACAGTGGACAGCTGCTAAGATGATGAAGGTACTGCGGCACCTCTCTTATGAGATAGGCTGAGAGAGCTATGACTGCTTAGCCTGCAGAAGAGAAGGCTCAAGCGGATTTTATCCTTGTGCACAAATACCTGATGAGGGAGTCAAGAAGAGGAAGCCAGGCTCTTTTCAGTGGTGCCCACTGACAGGACCACAAACTGAAACACAGGTGGTTCCTTCTGAACACTGGGAAATGCTATTTTACTGTGAGGGTGACTCAGCACTGGCACAGGTTGCCCAGGGAGGCTGTGGAGTCTCCATCCTTGAAGATACTCAAAAGCTGTCTGGACATGGTCCTGGGCCACTGCCAGCTGTAGGTGGCCCTGCCTGAGCAGAAGGGTTGGACCAAATGACCTCCAGATGTGTCTGCTGACCTCAACCATTCTGTGATTCTGTTAGCACTTTTGCATTGTCAGAGGACTTCAATTCCTCTTTGCCCATACTCTCCAGTCTGATTTAAACAGCAAACACAGTACTTGCCTTTCCTCATGACAATACACAGCAACGGGACAATGTCTCTAAGCATATAGTTTACATGCCACATTACTGTGTGATTTTATGGATGTAGAACTGAACTGCCTCTCCAGGCAGACTGAAACAGATCAAGTTGTCTGTGAATAGACAAATGGAGGTAACAATTATTGTATGTGCCTGATGTGCTGTGATTTTCAGTTTCCTTCCCTGATCTGTGGATTCATAGATGTTTTCCAGAGGGCATAGTCCTCTATTAGAAACATCAGATGCATCAGCTTCTGTATGTTTGAACTTGTCTTTTTCAGAACCCTCAGAAGCACTGCTGGAATCTGCAGACTAAAAACCCTTGGCTAATGACATCAGTATGTTTCATCTCATTAGAAAGCCACATTAGAAGACTAAGCACAGCCCTTCGCTTCCATTCTTGAGAGCTCTGATTTGCTACAGGTATCAGAGCAAGAATGAAGAGAAAGCCACAGTGTTTTCTTCCCAGGCACATACAAGGCAGGTGCTGACAGCCCTTGCAAGAGTCACTGGTAGGTCAATGAAAAGTAAGAGAAAGACTGTCACCACAGCATGAAGTTTTTAATGGTAGTGGAAGGAGAACAGTCTGCGTAACTGTGAAGAACCAGCTTGCTGAAGTATCTGTATTTCAGCTAAGATGTTATGCAAGACATTTTCATTTATGTGTTTTACATTTCATTTACATATTGTCCTTGTGCCAAAACAAAGCTAAAAAAATGCATAAACATTACAGAAAATAATAGGTATAGATCACACAGATACACAGAAAGAATGCATTCATTCTACCGTTTGTGCAATATTTTACATACAATTGAGAGGATCTGGATTATCATTAATATTTAATTACATGATCAGGATACAATTAAATGCCTTTGATAAAGTTATTAAGAAATCCAAAGACCAATTCAATTATCCATATATTACACAGATTATTTAATAAAGTAATAATCATCTCACAACAATAAGTACTTCATAAGCTTTACTAAGAATTTCTTATCATACTCACCAACAAGTTTTTTAATTAACTGGGCAAATTCTAGGATAGTGTGCTCCTCTGGGTTTCCCTAGAAAGAGGAGGGTTATTCATTACAATAACAATTAAACACCTTGCGACATGCTAGCTTTCTGACGTGATATAATTCTAACAGGGTCATGTTAAATTCTGAAAAAGTTGAACATTACAGAACTTTGACAAGGTCCACGCTCATTAGAAAAGTTGCCCTCCCTTACATTTGCCTTGGTAATTCAATGTATGCAGGGGGGTGCTCAAAAACATCTGTCTGTAAAGAATGGGCAAATGTACCTCAATCACAGTAAAGGCACGTGCCACTCAGCAGTCCACACAACCACACCATGAGTTTGAAACCTGGATTCAGGGACTTTGCTGAGTTGGGGACAGATGATATAACAAAGTACTATGCTAAATTCTCAGTTCATCCAAAGCTAGGAAACCAAACTAATTTAGCTGCAAACAATTGCTTCTGCATTTACTACAGCTTACATATCAATATGTATAAGGACTACTTGCTCTCCTATACAATATTCCTTTTCTTAACTCTCTTTATTTTAACCAAGTTGCATGTGAACTCCTGATGAACATTTCAGAGCAAACTACTGAAAGCTTCCTGTTACATTAGCTTGTCTTCATCAGACTCAATTTCCTCCATCCCTAGCTTTCCTTGTTGCAAAATTGTTCTTTACTCCATTTTGTTTGACCTAAAACTGAACATGTAGGTACGTACAGATTTAAACACTGATTTTTATGGAGACAAAACATATGGTGGGGTTTAAAAACATCATCATTTGGATAGAAACATAGAACTGAACACAGTAAAAAAGGAAAATCTAGTGAACAACTGCCCTCCAGAGTTGAATATCTGATTTGGCAAAAGTTGGCATACACAGAAATGACCTGGCATATGCATCCTTTTTCCATTCTTATATCCACTGCTGAGAGTAAGGTGACAACAAATGGGACAGAACAAAAATCTTATTAGAAAAGTTATGTTCTAAGCAGCCTTAATCAATATTAGAAAATTATACAATCAAATACCATCCCATTTCTCTCTAATCAAGGCTAGTATGAAGTGATTTCTAATTATTTAAAGCTAAGTATTCCTTCAGTGTTTTTTTTTCATTAAAACCAAACTTCAATAATTTCCTTGGTGTATTTTGCATGCCCCCCCCACATGCTCATATTTTGCTCATTTTTTTATAATATTCTAATTACATAAATCTTTTTTTGCTAAAACAAATGAAAAACTCTAGAAAATCTATCCTGTTCTTGAAACTACAAGATCTCAACATGTAGGGGCTTAATTTTCTTATTTATAAAGAAAATACATGGAAAAATACATTATTCATAATGAAAAGAGCTTTTTTTGCTCCATTTATTTCTTCTACAAATCAGCATCAGTGACGAGGAGGAAAACAGAGGTAATGTTGGCCTCTGCACAGGAAACACAGCAGAGTGAAGCTCTCATACTCACCAAGTTGACAGGACTGCTGACATTGCTGTTCATCAACGCCACCAACCCATTCACAAGATCACTATAAAAAGGGAAGAACAGACTGAGGCAGTTTCTACTTCCGGGCAGATAACATTCTTGTCTAAAAAGAGACCTGCCTCCTCAGAGCTCCAGTAAAGCAGATCAGGCAGCTGAGGAATGCTGAAATCAGATTTACAGTGTGGTGGATGTTTTCTCAGCTGCTGTTCCACAGTCCCTATTGTAAGAGGGTTAGTTTGAACGGGTGATTATCTTCGGGATACACTGGTTATAGTTCATCTGAACATATGAAAGAATATTAAAAAAAATCAAGTTACTTAAGAAAAAAGTACTTCCTCTTCCCTCCAGTAGCCATGCATATTTAGAAGCCCATTTCCAACACAGTTCAAACAGAATAGAGTAAGTTGTAATACAGAGGCACATGACAGCACCACCTGCTTTGTGGTTTGTTGTTTGTCTGCTCACTTTCAGAAATTCTTAAACCAAGTTTGTTAAAAAACAGTATTTTGGTGCTACCTCCCCCCAGCAAAATAACCCAAAGTTATTTTGGATTGTCAGCAACAAACTTAGCAGCTTGCCCCTGGCCATACAAACCCTGATCCCTTTCATTATGACTTATAATCAGGAAAGGAGTGGCTGCTTTGAACTGATGGGGTTTCCGTAGCGTCTGTCACCACTGTTACAACTTTCAGCAGAAGGAAAGAACATTTCCAAGTGGAGAATGACTAGAACAACCCAGAAGCCGGGCACGGAAGTTCATCTAACACGAAAGAACAAAAGCTTCTGAGGAACAGATTCGCTTTTTCGTAGTGAAAGTACATTCTGGCCTTGCTTTACACTTCAAATAGCAGCTACAGCAATACCTGCACCCCCCGCCTCAGCCGGTGGCTTCCCGCCGAAGGCCGGCGCACGCGCGCTGCCGCCGGCACCCCCAGGGACGGCAGGTGGCAGTGTTGCACGGAGACGCACGGACGGACAAACGGCTCGGCCTCGCGCACGTCCCTGCCCGTTACTCGCTCCCCCTCGAAGGGAAGGGCACGGTACATCAGCATTTCCGCTGCCAGTTCTAAACCAACTAACGTTTCGTTTCATGGCACTTTTATTTAAAACTTCAGCGTCTGCCTTCTGAAAGTATAGCTGGCTAAGAATGAAGGCAATGCCTCCGACAGAAATGCAGATGCATGCGAAGCTGGACAAGCTCAAAGGAGCACTCAGTGAAGTAAGTATCGGACAGTGCAAACAAGGCTTACCTGACATACTGGAAAGCTCTCGTCTGAGTTCCAGGTCCGTAGACCTAAAAAGAGATGGAAATCAGAAAACATTACATAAATATAAAAGTCCTCTCTAGCCCAATTATCTTTCCCTCACCGTTCTAGAAAAACGTCCCAAGAAGCAGCACCTGAGACACAAGCTCGATGTTACAGGAATAGAAAAAGATGTGCTTGCAGAGCCTTTGGCAAAGTATCAGTTCTTTGAAGGTCATCTTCCTCTTGGATGTGTCTCCAGTGAACCTGTCCTTAGGCATTTTGTTAACCAGAACTCCATGCACAGGAAACGTTCTCAGGGATGTAGGACAGAGGGATGCTTTGTCCTCTCCTGCAACACTGGAAGAGGCTGCAGCATGTGCTTAGCAGGAACAGAGTGCCAAATATTTAAAGCAAACCTCTGACTACTAAGATGTGGTTATGACGGGCAATTTTGATTTGTTCATTAACAACAGCCAACTTCAAAGTGACCACCAAATGTTAGTGGTCTCTCAAAAAGTTGTCAAGAAAAGTACCACTGTAAGTGTTTGAAGAAATCAGGACAAAAAACAAACCATGTGGCTCTTCCCCTCCGGGGAAGAATTTCTAGAGGATATGACTCCCAAAGTCACCTGTACAGTTTTGTAACAAAATCTAAGAGGGGAAAAAAATAAATGTTTTCTCAGGTTATGTGCTGGCACTTTGGAGCAAGCAAGTTGTTTAAGTTCACCCAGACTTTAAAGTACACTTAAAGCATACATAATGGTATCAGATAACATTTTTTTTTCCCCCACAGTTTAACTGTGTGGAGTACTAAAGTCCCTAGAACATGAATACTTAAATACTGAACGCTATCAGTAGGCATACGCAAGTGGTGAAAACACTGAAGTTTAATTGCGGACGCACACATCTTACTGTCAACCTGCTAAAACAGAAAAGCTTTTTGGAAGGACAGAATAGAAAGCATGTTTGTTTTCCTAGGGGACAGGAAAGGCAATACAATCAGTATACATGCCATCATGGCTTGGTAAGCCTGCTGCTCTTGAGGCTGATTCAGACCGAAGAAAGTTCACATTTTGGTAGGCACTGTGTAACATCAGGGGTTTAAGAGTTTACCCAATAACGGATTCTGAGAAGAATGCACCAGGAGAGCACACTGACAGCCTGACAAGGCTCCCAAAGCAAACAGCAGATTTTATGCATGTATATAGAGCTTCCTGCTTGTTTTCTTTTAGCTTGTAGGGTAAGTTTTACGGAACTAAGTCATTTGTGCACGATTTCGGCAAAGTCATCCATGTGGCTACTTTTCCTACATGCAGGCAGTGGCTGGAAAATACAGTGTAGCTTCCTCCTCCCAATATTTCTCACTACCTCCTGATTTCTCTTAATAAACCCTTCCTTTACAACAATACAAAGCAACAATGGTCATGTTTGCACAGGCTATAGTTTCTTCAAAGTAAAGATTTTTGTCTCAAGAGACTATTTGCTCCATTTGAACAACTACTTTGAACAAAGAGACTGAATACATTCAGTTTCTAAAAAAATCAACACTTGGTATTCCTGTCAGGCAAATTCTGTAATGATACAAGGGTGAAATTTCTTTTGGTCTTAACTACTGCTTATTGCTGATAATTCATTTTATTTGACCTGGTCAGCTAAACAAGTCTCCCCTCAGTTCTTCTCTCATATTCAGTAATTTTTAATGTCAGACAGTTACTCCCTGCAGAACAGTGATGTTGGGTAAAATGTTCTATTTTATCCTCTGTTACATTCTTGATGAAGTCTAGACAGCATGGCAGTTACAAACAAACAACAAACAAACAAACAAAAGCTTTCAATATTCTCTCCTATAGAACAGCACTGACTCCAGACTTCTCCTATTGATACTCTAAGATATCCCATGGATTGTATGCTTTAAAACAAGAGAACTGCTTCATATTTAGTAAGGCTTCACAAGATTTCCAGTTAGTGTTCTTCAGTAAAACTTGAGAAACTAAGTATGAATGAAAAAATCATTTGAAAGGCCAAATATGGCAATAGCTCACTACATGCACTGGGGAACAAACTTGAAAAATGGAAGTACCTTCTGACCCTCCGTAGCCTAGAAAAGCTTTCTAAACAGCATTTAGAGGCTTGGACTTTATGCTCCAGGATGCCATCCTGGGAACATACAACGCTGACAAACCAGTATATGGTTATACTCGTATTTTGATACAAGCAAGTCCTACAAGCATCAAAACCATCAAAGCAAGAAGCTCCATCTTCTTGTCTGCTTCTATTTGCTTAGTGTCTTGCAACGAACAGCATGCCTGAGTAAGAAAATCAAACTCTTTCTGCAGGAATTTGAGTGCTCTTTTTTTTTCATGTTTTGAAAGGGAAAAGTACTGAACCCATGTGGTTGTGCAACTACCCTATTCAGTGATGAAAAGACTCCTATCAGTAAAGACTAGACAAGCTGGCCCACTGGTTTTGTCAGCTACCCAAGACTAAGCCCTGACATCTGCAGTCTTAATGCTGATTTCTATGACATATTAAATGTCATATGTCCTAGTAAGCACTGGCCATTAAGTCACAGTCAGCATCATACAATTCCTACTATACTCTGAGCACTGACAGTGCTTTGTAGAAAAAAAAGTACATCTCTGGGGAAAAAGCAAATCTTTAGGAGATGCAGTGAACACAGCATTCAAATTACTACAGGCTTATTACTCTGAAAATAACCACAAGCCTAAACCAGAAATTTAGCAATGATTAGGAACAACAGAGTAGCCAAGATGCATCATTGATGAAATTAAAAAATAACAACAAATTGCCTAAGTCAATGATTGCTGATAAACAGCAAGCAAGCAAGCAAATGCTGACCTACAGAGTAGACCAATCTTTCAAAAATTATCAGTGTACTTAAGCCACGTGATGTATATTGCTTTGCAGGCTTCTTTAATTTTATTTTTTATGAAGAGTTCTACATTCCACCCTGTCAGTAGAGTAGTGTCTACTACCCAAGTTTTGCAGGGGCTAGCCACATTCTGGCACATTATTTGAAAAAGACTAAAGTTAGAGGAGATCTATCACAGAACACCAAGCTTCATCTTGCCTGGGCATGACTTATTCCCTGGTCTATACTCTTCAATGTTCTGTCCAGTTTCAGATTTTGCTCTAGAAGAATCACGGTAGTGGGAGTTGCCAAAAAACTTTCATCCTTTTTCTCCTTGGATTGTTTGCTCCTTCCTAGAGGAATTCCTGGCTGAACTCTGGATTTTACAGACTCCAACAGAAGGAATGCTGTCTCAGTGTCAAGATAGCTGCCCCATAGAAACACTTAGCAACATTTTTAGTTATTTAGAAGAAGCCACTGAGTGGTTTCCTGGCACTTCACTCTTCTGATCTAGGCAATATTAACAAATATTTATATGAAATTTCTGTTGTATGTCACATAAACTGTAAATGTTTCTATGAGCTCACAACTGGTCTCAGATCCCAAACTACTTCTCTCTGTTTTAGGATGTCTCCTCATTTATTTTACATATCCTCATAGTCAGGCACTGTCTGTATAGCTACATTGCTAGCAGCATCTTTGGCAGAGTATTGGCCTGTGCCAGCTTTTGCTCTCTCAGACAATGTTGTGTATTATCAAAAGCCAAGGACCATTCACAGCAAGCAGTCTGGATACGGCAACTTGTTTTGTCAGAAAAATTCAGCTATACAGATGTGGGTCATGCCACACCAGTTGGTCAATGGTAACAAAAAACAGTTCTGTCCAGCTTTATTTACTAATATGTGATGTAGCCTGAAGGCCCTGAACGTTACGTTATACATGGAAAATTTAGGCTGATCTCCAAGCTTGAAAAAGACATTTAGATGCCTAACTTCCAAAAAGGGTTCAGAGAAAGTTCCTCAACAGGATTAAGTACCAAAACATGATTCTGTTAGCCTTGTCATGCCTTGTCTCCATAGAAGAGTTGTGATGGATAGAGATTCAAGTTCAGGATGACTAAAATACTTTCTCAGATCGCAGCTGGTAGCCTTGTTTCTTTCTGGGAAAGGAACACCAATATCATCAACAGAGCACATCTTTGAATATATAATTCCATACATTTGAGCTTGATAGATTAGAAATTTTTTTTGTGGAGGGAGAAACCTATGTGTTTTCTAAAACCCATTCTCTTTCATAGTACATGAGGATAGGATATAAAAATGAACAGTGCTTCACATCACTAAGAAGTCATTACTTACTGTTAGTGGTTCTCCCTGCAGAGCTTGTAGGATAAAATTACTGACAACTCTACCATCATTCATATGCATTCGAGGACCAAAGGTATTGAATATTCTGGCAACCCTCACTTCAACTCCTTCCTGTAGGCAAAGAAAAAAGAATTGTTACTACCTTAGTAAGAGTGTCTTTCTTCCTGAAAGTGCAAATTAACTCTCTCCTGTCCAAAAAGGTTCTTAAGAATCCCTCTCACAACTTTAGCAAGCATTGTTTTCTCACCACAAAATACTTCTAACCTCTCCTCAGTGTTACTGGAAACTGTAGTGCATACAGCAAGGTAATTTATATTAGTTGTCAGTATTTGTAATGCAAACTCTACATCAGTGCTAGAACAGCTGATTTCAGCACATGTATTTTCTTCCAACAAGAACTTTAACATTTTTCAATAGTACCCTTCCAACAACAACTCACTGCATCTGGGACTTACCTACAGTGTTTGCACATAAGTGAAGTCTCACAATCCAGTACCAAGGTAGCATTTCCAAAGATTAGAAGAGTTGTAAGTATAAAGTAAGAGGCTTTGTAACCACAGCCACAATGTTTCTTAGCTCCCTGCTACTTATTAGGGTGTGTAAATGCATGCGTTACAGTCCATGTATATTCAATGGCTTATTTTTTTCCAAGAAACAGTTTTATCATTCGCAGAAATCCTTTCTGCAGGATATTTTGCAAATCTTCAAAGCAAAATGCAACAAATATGTGAAACTGGAAACTGTCTGGACAAAACATTTTAACACTGGGAGCCTGCAGACTGAAGTAATCTCTCTCTAGGTATTTTCTATTTATTGACACTTTCTCATTTGGACAAGCCACAGTTCATGATAAAGCCTACAAGAAGGATGTTTGGCCTTTGTGAGGTGAAGCATGCAGTTGGCTCCTGACGAGTTCAGAGCAGCGTGGTATGCTGTAAACAGACAGATGCTACCACGTGAGAGTGATAGCCACAAGGGAGGGAGGAAGGTGTGAACTTCAGCCCAGGCCTATGCATCCTCCTCATACTCCCTGGTCGTCCCCCCTCCCAGAAAAAGCCATCCCTGTATCAGTCACAGGAAGCATTTTTCATCTGAAGCAAACTTCGTGCTGCTGATTCAGCTGAAGCAACTGAAGTCACAAGCACAATGTTCTGGAGCTGCAAACATTCAGTTACTCCTTCAGAGGATACACGGAACATCTTGTATTTTCAGTGCCTTTTACTAAGACTTAGACCAATGCTTGCCAATTTCCTGGAAGACATGAGGGCGTGTGGAAGAAGTGTACTGTTGGTACATCTGTGGCTGAAGGTTGCAGCTCACACATACTTCACTCAGGAGAGACCTGGAAACACATTTTTCTTGGAAAAACTGTAGCTTCATGTACAACAGAAACTTGCAGGAAAATCTGATCCTTTTCTCTTGGGTCTCCAAGTGATTCATGAACAAATGAATCCTCAGAGAAATTTTGTGAAAGCAACAGCATTTTTACAGATGAGAGAGACAAAAGGTACATTTAAGACTTTAGCTATTACTTGATGTTGAGAAATGGTAAACACCAAGTAGAATAGGTAAAGCCCAACACTCTCAAATATGGAGAAGGCCAAACAACATCGAATTCTGTTTAACTGCAGATAAACTTTCAGTCGCCATGATCAAACGTTGTTTATATTTGCAACTAAATTGTAAGCTAACGGTAACCAAGGAGGTAACTATTGTGCCATAGGAAAAGCTACAGTCTTGGGTCCTTGTCACACAACACACTTGCATCCACAACAGAGCCAAAAAAATAACCTGACAACATCCACTTGGCCCTGCTGAGACATCCTGGAAAGAGCAGAAGTCCCTTCCCACGCAAAATGCACCAACTGGGAACATATTCTTTATTTCCTGTTAGCTGAAAAAACATGGCAGTGTAACATGTCAAACATATAGTTCCAGCAGCATATTCCATTGCCTTCACTGTATCTGGAAATACATACTCTGACAGAGTTTCTTGTTCTTTGGTTTTGCCCAGCTCTCTATCTTAAAAAGGACACTGACTCCTTCAGGGAGGTATTATATTTCATGTGAGCTTTCCAGATATTGCCATTAATAACAAGTACAGAAGATGAGGCACTTGGAAGCTAGTACTCAAGATAAAAATAACTCATTAAACAATGCTGACCAAAAAGCCTCTTTTATACTGCACAAGCTACAGCAGCAGCCCTGTTTTCCAGTATTGGCTGGAAACTAGCAAGGGATCTAGAAAAGAAAAACAACACATTCTCTATAGGCACTTACTCATAGCCACAGTGAATCCAGTATTTCTTCTCCCTCCTATTTATTCCCCTCCCTCCACTGTAATGCTGTCTTTTAAAATGAGTAACTTTTTATTTATGGTGTCATCTAGCAAAGCTTTTCTCTGCAGTCTACTGCTTTGAAAAATCTATTTTCTATGCAGCTGAATTTTCACTTGTGCCTGTAAAACTGCCATCTATCTTCTCAAAAGAAACTCTTCCACAGACAAAAAGATTTTCGAGTCAGTAACTTAAAAATTGTCCTAAGTTTCCTTTCACCATTTCATGAACAACTCCTTTGAAGTGTCCTTTTTGCATGTTGACTAACTCTCTACTCCTTTTTGTGTTAACTGCCTATGAATACTTATGGTACACTCACCTGTTACTCTGAATATCAACAACAACACATTAATTATGACTGACTATCTCCACTGTATTCCCACTAGTAAAGCCAATTACTTCCCCAGATTTGTGGCAGTAAGTCATGTATAATATGTTATTATATCCTAGAGAAAAGAGAAAAATTTCTTTGGCCCACATTTATACTGCTAAAAAAAAGAGAGCTTAAGATTAATCCCTGACGCTGAGATCAAATGTGATCAGCTGGCTTCTGTCCTCATGCCTTCCTATAGCAGATTAATCAGAGAGAAAGTTTCTTGTGCAATCCAAAAAAGAGTCAGGGAGCAAGCTAATAAAATGCAGCATTGTGGACTATCAAAACACTTCAGTTCACTCTCTTATTTACCAGTACGGAAACGTTCACATGCCTGTACAGATGGAGAGGGAAGACAGAAAAGATGCAAGAAAGATTGTTACGGCTTACAGAGATACCTCCTCTGAATAAATACTCAGACTATTCTATAGCCATCAGTCAAAAAGCAGCATTAGTTATCCAGTCTCCCCAGCAAAACAAACGTTCATGGACTTCAGCATGAGTCTTTGCCACTTTGTTCTAGAGATCCCTGCTCCAGAAAGTATCAAAGTATCAAGGATGCTATGGTAACATCTTAACTTAAAAAGACATATTTTAGTTTTATAAGCTTTTTAAGAAAAGCTATCTCCTTGTGTTGACTGTCTCAGAAAATAGATCAATACAGAATACAACTCAAATGTCAAGAGGTTTCTTTCACTGAAGCAGCTTGAACATATGCTGTGGCTGTAATTCATAAGGATATCAGGCAAGCCTGTCTTACTAATTAACAGTGCTTCATTCTTTCTCAAGTCTGTGGATCTATCTGAACAGGAAGCATGGATTAGAACTCCCTGCATACAAAATCAGGAAAGGGAAAGCTGCAACTGTCTGCTCCCCAGCAGACAACTGGATTCACCAACGAAACAAAAAATCTGCCACGGAAAGCCCAGACAGTTGCATGGGTATCACTGTGACCTGATACAGGTCTTCATCAATATATCAGCTAAAATTACTATGATTGTTGCCTGCACCCCTTGCTGTATTAGTCACTGTCTTACTGATTTATATTTTTTTTCCATGTGTTTCAGAGATCATTAACTAACTCTCAAAATTGTTCCCAAAACCCTGAATTATAATCACAGCAGAATTACTAGCACAGTGTTCACCAGGATCCATGATGTGTTTAACCTATAATACTCTACACTAAGGTTTGGTCCAAGATATTTTTTATATATATATACTGGCTATTGTATAAGCAAAAGTAGATTAATTTCTGGTTATTAACTGTGTTTTAAAATTGTTTTGCAAAAATTGTAATGCTGGGATCTGAATTTCATAAGCAGTAAAGCTCCTAAGCAAGCTAGGAAGGACAATCACAGTCATCTGACTCTACATTTCAGTCCCTGAATACAAACAAGACACACCTCCAGCACTCATCTTACAGTTGAAATATTATCATGCTTGTAGTTTAACACTTCCCAGACTAGAGAAACTACAACATGTCTTCAAGGTCTCTTCATACCATTATTTATACCTCTTTCCTAAAAGTATGTCCTATTTCTAGCAATTGCCTGAGCTTGCATACCTTGTGTATGTACTGTACACGGCCAATGCAAATAGCCACAGGCCTGTTCCACCAACACTTTGACAGAAGACTTTGTCATTGGGAAGGGATGTGTACCCACTTAAGTGGATCTATGCCTGAATTACTAGGATATTCCTTTCAGACAGGGCCTTTAATTTCAGTATTTTTACTGCACAACATGGCTTCTGCACATGAGGCGGCTGATAACATAACTACTGCAGTAATACTGAGTGAATGAGAGCTGTATCTCAGCTTCCAGTAAGTTTCCAATAAGGGTCAAGAATACATGCAAACAACAATATGTATTCCAAACAATTTAATTTTAGCCATCGGAATACTGGACAGTTCTCCAGAGTTACACTCATGAATTAGTGTAACAATGACAGTTATGGGTGAAAGAAAATGCCTTACCAATGCTTTTAAAGAAACGGTGGCTGTATGAGGAGGATGCATCTTACAGCCAAAAATAAGAGGTGTACCAAATTGAAAACACCACCAGAAACAAAACCACTTTGCATGAAAAGCTGAACACCGCTATGGATATAATCTTATTCAAACACTGACTGAGCTTACTGAAGTCAATCAATCTCCAAAAACAGTTTAAAGTCTTCACGAGTTCACAATTCTATTTGCACAACAGTGCAGCAATATCAAAAGCAAGGAACCAAGTTCTCCAACTACCTGAGGGAAATCAGAAGATGGGATTTCTTACAGCACAGCAAGGAAAGAAAAAACCAACCTAGAGCACAGAGAGTATGGGAAGTATTCAGACTTTTCTTCAAGAAACTGACCGTATTTTTGATTATCATTGAAATGCAGTCTTCTAACCTTGTCT